GCTTTTATATTTGCCAAAAATAGAACTTTTTTATTTTAAAATCAAACAAGCAAGCCCTGTCCAGATTTAAAAAGTAATGCAAAAGTAACGTAACACATTACTTTTCATAAAAAGTAACTAAGTAACGGAGTTTTTTTATGGAGTAACGCAATATTGTAATGCATTACTTTTAAAAGTAACTTTCCCCAACACTGGTTATAAATACATGCTTTTTAAAAATATATATTATAAATACAATATATAAAATACACCACCATTCAAAAGGGGGTCAGTAAGATTTTTAAATGGTTTTGAAAGAAATCTCTTCTGCTCAGCAAGGCTGCATTTATTTAAAACAGTAAAAACAGTAAATCTACCATTTCTATTTTAATATATTTTAAAATGTATTTTTCCTGTCATGCTAAAGCTCCATTACTCCAGCTTTCAGTGTCACACGACCCTTCAGAAAGCTCAAGAAACATTTCTTCTGATTATTATAGGTGTTATATAGCTATATATATATATAGTTATATAGCTGTTATATAGAACATGGTTATGCTGCTTAATAATTGTGTTGAGGTGTTTAAATTTTTCAATGAACAGAAAGATTGTAATATATACAGTATACTGTATGTATATATATATATATATATATATATATACTGTATATATGAAATGGAAATTAGAAACATGAATTATTTGAAATTATTTAAAACAGAAATCTTTATTGACATTATTAATGTCTTAATGTCATTTTAAATTTCTGCACATTTTGCATTTTTATTGCACATGTACAATGCAAGGTAGGGAACATATCAACATCTTAAGGAACACCACCCTGACATGCAAAAAAAAAATTCAATAGACTCACGACTATGACAAAGTTATGAATCAGGACAGCACTAAAATAGTAACTATTTTGCATACGTTTCCCAACTTTATACTTAGTTTTCTTTTAAGCATTCTCACAAAATCTAAGAAATATAGTAAAGGAGGGTTTACTTTTCTTCCATTTACATGTGTAAATGTGACATTTACCAACTAAAATTACCATTTTCATTCAGAAAAAACGGAATTCAATATATTCTTTAAAACAATGTAATTTTCTAAAACTATAAGGATAAATGTGACCATGGAGCACAAAACCAGTCATAAGGGTCAATTTTTCGAAATTGAGATTGATCAGTATACTGTATGTATATATATATATATATATATATACTGTATATATGAAATGGAAATTAGAAACATGAATTATTTGAAATTATTTAAAACAGAAATCTTTATTGACATTATTAATGTCTTAATGTCATTTTAAATTTCTGCACATTTTGCATTTTTATTGCACATGTACAATGCAAGGTAGGGAACATATCAACATCTTAAGGAACACCACCCTGACATGCAAAAAAAAAATTCAATAGACTCACGACTATGACAAAGTTATGAATCAGGACAGCACTAAAATAGTAACTATTTTGCATACGTTTCCCAACTTTATACTTAGTTTTCTTTTAAGCATTCTCACAAAATCTAAGAAATATAGTAAAGGAGGGTTTACTTTTCTTCCATTTACATGTGTAAATGTGACATTTACCAACTAAAATTACCATTTTCATTCAGAAAAAACGGAATTCAATATATTCTTTAAAACAATGTAATTTTCTAAAACTATAAGGATAAATGTGACCATGGAGCACAAAACCAGTCATAAGGGTCAATTTTTCGAAATTGAGATTGATACGTCACCTGAAAGCTGAATAAATGAGCTTTCCATTGATGTATGGTTTGTTAGGATCAAGACAATATTTGGCTGAGATACAACTATTTGAAAATCTGGAATCTGAGGGTGCAAAAAAATCAAAGTATTGATAAAATCACCTTTAAAGTTGTCCAAATTAAGTTCTTAGCAATGCATATTACTAATCAAAAATTAAGTTTTGATATATTTACAGTAGGAAATTTATAAAATATCTTCATTGAACATGATCTTTACTTAATATCCTAATGATTTTTGGCATAAAAGAAAAATCAATAATTTTGACCCATACAATGTATTTTTGGCTATTGCTACAAATATACCCCAGTGACTTATGACTGGTTTTGTGCTCCAGGGTCACAAATATTATTATTTTCACTGAAAGCTAACTGAAAACATCCACCCAAAATTTAGAGTTAAAATCAGCAGAAAAAAGGGTGTTCAAGAGCTAGAAAATCTCTACTGTATAAATTCCCCCCCATATATATATATATATATGTATATGTATACTCTAAACAGGACTTTTTAAAGTCTCTTTAACCTTTGGAGCAACAGTCTATGTCAGATAAAGAATGAAAGAAACCTCAACAACGCCAAAAATGCAGCACTGAAAATCACCAACATGCTTAAAAACTCTGTAAATGAATGTTCTTACACTTATTGTCAAATAATTTACGAGAAAAAGGCACTTTACTGTCTTTTTTGATCAATTGAATGGATCCTTGAATTAAATAAGTATTAATTTCTAAAAATCGTAATGACCCTGAACATTTGAACGGTACTGTAAATATAATAATAGTCCTCATTATAAGACAAAATGTTTGCATTGAAATATTATTTTTTTCCTGTTTAACACTGTAAAGCTGCTTTGACACAATCTATTGTTTAAAGTGCTATATTAATAAAGGTGACTTGACTTGATAAAAATAATAATCAACTTTAATATTCAGTGAAAATGATTAGACTACATTTTGTTTGATGGGGGGCGGAAAGGGACCTGAATAATGGGTAGCTCAAAAAAGGTTGAGAACCGCTGCTTTAGATAAAGGAATATTATCTGTTAAATACAACTTACAGTCTGTACTGTAACAGCATCTGAGACATACTGTTATTTTACCATTTCATTGCATTCATGGCTTTAGATGATTACTACGGTATTACTTTTATCCTGAAATTCCCCAGTGACTTATGACTGGTTTTGTGCTCCAGGGTCACAAATATTATTATTTTCACTGAAAGCTAACTGAAAACATCCACCCAAAATTTAGAGTTAAAATCAGCAGAAAAAAGGGTGTTCAAGAGCTAGAAAATCTCTACTGTATAAATTCCCCCCCATATATATATATATATATGTATATGTATACTCTAAACAGGACTTTTTAAAGTCTCTTTAACCTTTGGAGCAACAGTCTATGTCAGATAAAGAATGAAAGAAACCTCAACAACGCCAAAAATGCAGCACTGAAAATCACCAACATGCTTAAAAACTCTGTAAATGAATGTTCTTACACTTATTGTCAAATAATTTACGAGAAAAAGGCACTTTACTGTCTTTTTTGATCAATTGAATGGATCCTTGAATTAAATAAGTATTAATTTCTAAAAATCGTAATGACCCTGAACATTTGAACGGTACTGTAAATATAATAATAGTCCTCATTATAAGACAAAATGTTTGCATTGAAATATTATTTTTTTCCTGTTTAACACTGTAAAGCTGCTTTGACACAATCTATTGTTTAAAGTGCTATATTAATAAAGGTGACTTGACTTGATAAAAATAATAATCAACTTTAATATTCAGTGAAAATGATTAGACTACATTTTGTTTGATGGGGGGCGGAAAGGGACCTGAATAATGGGTAGCTCAAAAAAGGTTGAGAACCGCTGCTTTAGATAAAGGAATATTATCTGTTAAATACAACTTACAGTCTGTACTGTAACAGCATCTGAGACATACTGTTATTTTACCATTTCATTGCATTCATGGCTTTAGATGATTACTACGGTATTACTTTTATCCTGAAATTTGGCTTGTATTTAGTATTTAGCTCGAAATATTTATTTAAGAGAACATCCTGGTAGTCTTGTTCCTCAGTTTTAAATCTTGGCCTAACAGATCCTCAGGTGCTTATGAAGTTTGTTGGCACTTTCGGGGGCTTTTGAAAGCTTGCATGCATGAAAATTGTACAGTGGTCAACTGACATTTAAATAGCAGGTTGCTAAACATCTACTGGCTTTTATAAAAAAAGGCGAAAGTATTATGTACACTACTGGTCAAGTGTCTTTGCTCACCTGTAGGCTGCATTTATTTTATTGAAAATACAGTTAAAACAGTGATATTGTGAAATATTGTTACCATTTAAAATAACTGTTTTCTATTTTTAATTTTTTTTTTTTTAATTATTCCTGTGATGCAAAGCTGAATTTTCAGCATCATTACTCCAGTCTTCAGTGTCACATGATCTTCAGAAATCTTTCTAATATGCTGATTTGCTGCTCAAGAAACATTTCTGATTATTATCAATGTTGAAAATAGTTTTGCCGCTTAATATTTTTGTTGAAACTGTGATACACTTACTTTGAGATGAATGTTCTTTTCAACTTTCTATTCATCAAAGTGTTTTGAAAAAAAAAAGTATCACAAAAACATTAGGCAGCAAAAACTGTTTTCAACACCGATAATAAGAACCATCCACCCTTTGTTGTGCTTTCACATTTGCAGTATTTTGTTACTTGCTGTGAAATATACAATGAAAATGAAACATTAATATATGACCTCTTTAAAGGTGCTGTATGCAAGTTTTTGACTCTACTAAAGCATAAAAATACCATCATATGTTTGCAGATATTTAAGAAGCATGCTAAGTTAACATACTTGTTTATCTCAAGTCTGAGGTGGAGGGGCCGGGTGAAAAAAACCCTCTCCAATATTTTGAATTTGGACTGCAATACCTAGTTCAACTACTCGGTGTCAATCCTACATACAGCACCTTTAAATGCTTTATACCACCGTTTATTTCCTAGAGAGAGCAAAAGAGGTGTTCTGGATGAGATGTGTCTGTACTCACTGCTGGAGGAAGAAGACATGCGGCGCTGGGCAGGGGCCGGTGTGGAGGTGCTGGGTGGAGGAGGAGGAGGAGGAGGTGGGGGCAGCTCTGAGGGAAGAGGTGGAGGAGGAGGTGGAGTCGGGATGGAGGGTGGAGGAGGAGGAAGGGGCAGATCCTCTGTGTTTCCCGTCCCGTTCTCAGGAGCAGGCGCCGTGTCTGACGCTTCCTCCAACAGTGCAGAACCCTGTCGAGAGAACAGGTAACAGTGCGGCAGATTTCAACGTTTAAATATTTACTACTATTGCAAAGTGACAGATCACCCAACAATGAAGATGATCTCATAATTTGCTCAAACTCATGCAATCCTGGATGTTTATGACTTTCTTTCTTCAGAAACTCTCTGTGAGTCCACATGTTGCAAGTGAATTAAGCGGCAGATTGTTGAAGCTCCAAAAACACATGCTGCCATTAGGACAGTAATACAGCCTCAGAGGATGAATCAGTGTCTTCTAAAGTGAAACAATAAGTGTGTGTAAGAAAAACACTATTATAAACTTCGAATATATGTGAGCCTGGAGCACAAAACCAGTCTTAAGTCGCTGGGGCATATTTTGAGCAATAGCCAAAAAAACATTGTATGGGTCAAAATTATAGATTTTTCTTTTATGCCAAAAATCATTATTCCAGGGTCCAGGGTCACATATATACTTTTTCACTATAAATCATAATTTCAGACCAAATGCCATAGTCGCATTCATGATAGGGTTGAGTTTACTCTTGACTTAAACATGCTTACTGTATGTCAAGCTTCATAACATACTTTCATTTACATCAAACACACACTTAGACCCTCCCATGAATGTGTGTATGAAGGTTGTCCGGAAGCAATGATTTTAAGTTAGCATTTTTTTTTATACACACCCATAGTTTCACTTCAGAAGACATTGATTCATCCACTGGGGTTGTCATGATATCTGTATGTGCTTTTTGAAGCACCAACATTCTGGTTAGAGAGTCGGACTCGTAACCCAAAGGTTGCGGGGTTCGAGTCTCGTACCGGCAGGGATTGTAGGTGGGGGGCGTGAATGTACAGCGCTCTCTTCCACCTTCAATACCACGACTGAGGTGCCCTTGAGCAAGGCACCGAACCCCCAACTGCTCCTCGGGCGCCGCAGCAAAAATGGCTGCCCACTGCTCCGGGTGTGTGTTCACGGTGTGTGTGTTCACTGCTGTGTGTGTGCACTTTGGATGGGATAAATGCAGAGCACTAATTCCAAGTATGGGTCACCATACTTGGCCACATGTCACTTCACTTTCACACTTTATTATATATGGATGCAAAGTGACAGATTATTTTTCTAAAAAATAAATAAATAAATAAAAATTTGTTCATCTGAAGAAGGAAAGTCATAAACATCAGAGATGGCATAGGGGCGAGTAAATGAAAAGATAAAATCCAAAGGCCTCTAAGTTATCAACATGATCAAAACTTTGCTGAAAATCCTGTAGTACACAATCTTCTACAAGCCTTCTGACCACAGATTGATAGTTCACATGTTTTAGCAAGTAAAAGGCCTTTTAATTTAATTCTAAAATATCTCCCTTCACTTGATTATCCATCCATATTTTTTTTTTTTTAGAAAAATCAAGAGTATCAAACATGATACATCAGGTTTTTAAGGGATGTTTACTTGTACATCCCTCAATCATCATTGTATTGCATTGCATTTATATGTCTTGCTGCCCACAATAAAACCTACAGAGCTTTGATCATAAAACTAATCATCTTACTAAGACATCTTATTGGGATATACAGAGTGACAACTGATATTTATAAAAATTTTATGTAAGTAGTCTGTTATAAAGATCTCACTGATTATCAGAATTTCATCTTAACTTTTTGGTCATATTAACATCAGCAACTGCTCATTGTGGTCCTCTAAATAAAAGTTGTTTTTGTTGTTGTTTGTCTAAAAGCTCTGTTCCATTTCAAAAATAAATAGATTCCTTTCTGATTATTATTTCATATGTCCGGCTTTATAAAGGCATAAAGGTCACTTTAATTTTGGACACTAAAATGGTCATAGACAGAGTAACATAACAAATACAATTTCCCAAACCACATACTCTGACCAACACTGCACCCCACCATATGCATTGCAGCTGGTGATGAATACATAATTAATCTAATTGAGTGGTTTTCTGGAATGAAAGGACATCTGCTAAGCTAAGAGTAAGAGCTTTTGTAATCAAAAGGGTCTGGCTGCAGCCTTGCGCTTGCACTCTCAGACGTGCATTCTCAGGCTTGCACTCTCAGACACTTGCACTTCCGCTAGCGACGTCACTTGCAGTATTTTTTTTATTTATTTTGTTCTATTTATTTATTCTTTTTGTTTGAATCTCTCAACATTTTACAACAGTAGCCAGGTGGTGAAGACAAGACAAAAGAAACTAAATTCCGATGTCACTTGCAATCGCCACTTGCACTCTCCGACACCTGCGACGTCACTTGCAATCGACACAAATCGTGCGTGTTGCCAATGGAGACAAGATGCTGTGGTGATTAAACGATTAAAACTAATTTAGTACTATAACATACAGGGTCCTGCAAGAAAAAGACAAGACCCGCAAATCCGTGGCCACAGAACAGCAGAATATTAACGCAATGCTCAAAGTCTCTCGCTAAGCATTTTCCTCCTGTAGAAAAACATAAACACTTAATATGGCTTAATGTATTAAGATGCTATTAAAATATCAAATTCAATATACAGTTTATTAATATAATGAATATGTATATAGTATTTTCCTCCCAGACCGCAAAACGTGGCATAATGTGGCATAATGGACTAACATGATAAAGACCAAACTCAATGCTCTTCATTATTAAAATATAGCCTACATAACTAATATACAGGCAAGCAGGTGAGCCCAGAATAAATGCAACACGCACAGTTTCGTGTTAAGCGTTTTTCCATATAGAATAAACTGTCTACAGCTCTTTTATATCATTGTCTTTGTCCATTAAGCTACATTACGAGTTTTATTTTTAATGATTTTCTATGGGAGGAAATTTTTTAACGTGCAATTTAATGCATTACACAATCTGGGCTCATCTGCTTGCCTGGTCTGAGAGTGCAAGCGCAAGGCTGCAGCCAGACCCTTCTCCAATCCTTCACACTCTGCATCTCCAGAGACCACCCACCCGCCCCTACAACTGTCGCCAAGTAAACAAGCCCTGACCTTTCACTCCACGCACCCCCGCCTCCTGGACGCGTGCCACACACGTGCCCCTTATCCCCTCCTCATCATCACTGTCTCCAGCATATGGTGCGTTTCATGTCGCACACATGTCCGTGTTAATGGGTCATTACCCAGTGGGACATGTGGAGTACCATCTGGTTCAATCAAGTGGCCAGACGCCCCACTGGGCATTTAATTGGCTCAATGAAGATTAGATCTGATAGCAGAAAGTGGCCATATGAAATGCTGATATTGATTCTCTCTCTAGTTCACATTATGCATGTTCCTCACAGGTGGTAAATGTAATTTCTCTGAAGAATTATTGGAGTTCTTCTTTATTTAAGTATCAAATTTGTCTCTAATGCGTTCCTTAAAAAATGAGGTTAATTGTTGACGTGCAAATTAGTACAGCTTGGATAATGGATTTCTTAGTTAAGTATCTTGTCTCAGATGTTTCTCCTAAAATTCCTTAGGGTTAATTCAAATTACATTTTTGTCATCATTTACCCTCATGTTGTTACACTGAAAATAAATTGAAGGATTTTTTACTCTGAAATTGCTAGTTCATTTCACAAATAATTACAAAGGTATGACAAGAAACAGTGAATTAAATGTGACCCTGGAGCACAAAACCAGTCTTAAGTCGCTGGGGTATATTTGTAGCAATAGCCAAAAATACATTGTATGGGTCAAAATTATTGATTGTTCTTTTATGCCAAAAATCATTAGGACATTAAGTAAAGATCATGTTCCATTAAGATATTTAGTAAATTTCCTACTGTAAATATATTAAAACTTAATTTTTGATTAGTAATATACATTGCTAAGAACTTAATTTGGACAATTTTAAAGGCGATTTTCTCAATATTTAGATTTTTTTGCACCCTCAGATTCCAGACTCTTAAATCTGGTTTCCAAATATTGTCCTATCCTAACAAACCATACATCAATGGAAAGCTTATTTATTCAGCTTTCATATGATGTATAACTCTCAATTTTGAAAAATTGACCCTTATGACTGGTTTTGTGGTCCAGGGTCACAAATGTGAAATCTCTGAAAGTCTGAAGTAGTCGTTTCTTGTAATACATACTCCAACAATCTTTGTTTCATTTACAACTTTAGTAGATCGTAGAAACCATTGGTCTGTTTGATCTACTCACTGTACGATTTACTTACTGTAGGCTTATTATGCTTTTGGGAAACATAGCCCTGTGTGACTTTCTTTCTTAGAGGTTTGGTAGAATGTCCTAGCTGCTGTTTTCCAATATATAAAAGTGGACAGGGACAAAGAACATATGTCGTCACCATTCACTTTCAAATGGAAAAGAGCAGCTTGGACATTTTCCTAGATTACTCCTTTTGTGTTGGGGGGAAAAGGGGAAAAGAAAGTCATACAGGTTTGATACAATGAGGGTAAGTACATTATGACAGAATTTTAATTTTTGTGTGAACCACTCTTTAAAAAAAAAGGAAAACCAAATTTGCTCTCCATTCAATCATTGTTGACTAGGAAAAACAACTACTATATAAAGATATTTTTTCCCAAAATATTCTGTCCTATGAGTCAAACTGCAGTTATAATAGGAGAAATCTGTGCCAGGTCACAGCCATCAGACTTACATAACACAACAAAAAAAGGACTGAGCACTGTTTACCCAGCAGCCCAATATGTGTACAATAAATGTTGAACTCTGGGCTGCCACACCTTCCATGGATTTGTATTGTAATGTGACAGGTGAGGCAGTGAAACTAACTTGAGTCAAACCAAAGAGAGCTGGCTGTCCAGGAAACAACAGCTTTCTGGGATCCATATTGTTGATGGTCCCCATTGCCTCCAATATTATGGAAAAAAATATGGCGGTAGTCAATTGGGACCATTAACTGTTTGGTTACCCACAATCTTCAAAATATCTTTTATGTTCCACAGAAGAAAGAAACTCGTACAAGTTTAAAACAATTCGAGGTTGAGTTTTTTGGCTGAACTACATATCCATATATATATATATATATATATATATATATAGAAACACTTTAGTATAGGGACCAATTCTACACATTTCAATACACCAAATACACAAAATAATGTTCTTTTTAGCAACATCATATGACCCCTTTACGATGCAACAGCATCTGGAATTGGAGATTTATGACCATGAAACAGAATTTGCTGTTTACCTCCCCATTGGGTGCCATGGCTCCGTTGGGGTGCTGATCTGCGCTATCGCTACCCAGGGTTTTGTAGTAATCCCCAGTGCTGGGCTGCTTGCTGAAGCTACGGGACTTTCGATTAGAGTCCACTCTTCGAAGCCTTTCGTGGCTCTCGCCAGGATTCAGCTGCTGGAGAAATGAGCAGAACATGTTTAGTCATAGACACAGAAAATCATTACAATTAGAAACATCAAATTAACTCAAACCTTTTGCATCAGTTGTTAGCTAGCAGTAGAGCACATGAGTCTGGTAATATAACTAGCAAAAAGATTATCACTGCATTGATATGTGTACAGTTATTGTGTTTTAAATAAAGCAGGATGCAGTATAAATGAAATCATGTTTCTGGCCCATCTTTGATATAACCACAGGCTCTACTCTTCAGTGCAATAATAAACCCAAAAACTCCAACATAGCAGAAGTAACTTTAAATCCTATCAAAACAGAACATTATCACTAACACATCTTTTAGTTTTCAGTTCTCTATTTGCTTAGAACAGCATAAAATGTATGAAACATTTTTAAAAAATGTATTAAATAGATGAAAATATACTGGAAGATGGGTATAGGGGACAAATAATGTGTATGAACTGTTTTACCAACATCACGATTTTAGGTTTAAATTCTCATATTTGTCAGGGAGTGTATTTTTAGATAACAAATCACCATTTTTCACCATCGATTTGTAGCCTTTTTTCATTGTAGCAAATATATTATGTAGTCTCTCAACTATTATGTGCTTATAAAAACAAAACAAACAAACAAAAACAAGAATTATTATAATATAGGAAATGTTTAACAGTTTCAGATGAATTATAGCATGTCACACTGTGGAAACTCATGTGACCTTCACATATTTGAATATTGTCTTCCCGCCCACACACACACGCCATAAAAAGAGGTTTATTAACTTTTTATGAGACAGGCGTAAGAAATGTCAGTGTAAAATTTGTCATATAATTTGTCAGACAAAATTCTGACAAATTCTCCTTCACTGCTTGAAAATGGAACAAACCAATGCTATTTTTAACACAATTCTAGAACAAAAAATCTGAACTTTAATCCCATATTGCTTCACATAAGGCAATGCTGACACATTAAGCCACATAAACGCTTAATAATTCCTATTGTGTTCATGTGGCAAAGCCTCATGTGAGTCCAGCTGATTTGCTTGAAAACAAAAAGACTGTTCATGGCACAAAAGCTGAACTTAACATAGATTTCTAAGCTCCAGAGGCAAATAACACAGCAGGCTACAAGAGAGACCGGATGAGCCCTTAAATGCTGTTTCAGTGTCAATGCACCGAATGGTTTCACTTTCTGCAGCTGTCACTCACTTGTGTATGATAGTGAATCTTCATCACTGATCTAAAACCAGTTTTATCCACTTGTCTTTAGGAGGACATAAATTACATTACAGCAATCTCAGATGCGGTTTCAAGAGTTTCTAGAAATTTCCAACACAAAAAAGGTAATGCTTGGTTTTCCTGTTCTTAAGATTTTCCTAATGCAAAGTCTTTGAATTTGCATAGTAATGAACCTTATGCAATGCAATTCTAAAACAAATAAAGTCACAGGGTAGTGAAGATAGTGAATGTGATATTGTCATTTAAAAAATTTAAGGTAACTTTCATATAATAATAAATAGCAAAACAATCAATTTCGGTCAAACAAAAGCAATATTGATCTCTATATTAATATCAATCTCTATCTGAAAGCAAATACACCCAATAAAAAAAAACATGCATGACAAAGAATTTGAATTCTGTCATCTTTGGCTTTTTATTTCTCATGCTGGCCCTCAGTATGGTATTATCCATTCATGTCCTTCCAGCATCCAATCTGCATTGTTGTCTAAAGCACTGTCCTCCCTGCAGAGTGCAGTGCAGATGGTTTGATTATCATACCTCGGGGAAATCGCTGCTTGAAAGGCTAGCTGACCTCTATACAATGTGGATGGACCTGAGCCTATTTCAAACCTGCTGAATTTTTCATCACCAGTCACCAATACGTATTCTTCAGGCGTTTGCATTGTACAGGGACTCATCTTAAGATCTAAAGCGTGTTCAGTAACGTTAGCTGAAGCTCAGTTGATTAAAGAAAATGAATGCAGTGCTATTCATGCATTTCAATGTTTATCTGATTTTGCATGCAATGCATTTGAAAGATTTTCTAGGTTATCACAGGTTCTCTAGGCAAGCAACCCGAGGCTACTGATCTTACATAACTAAACACAAATAATAACGGAAAACACACCTGAGGAACTATCAAAAAACCCATAGCCGTTACAAAGACAATTATATAATTACAAGTATTCACAAGTCAACCAAACCAGCACAGTTTGAACTCTTGCCGCCATCATTACTTCATCACAAAATAACACTGAATTGCAGTCTTACCCTTTCCGACTGCCCTTATTTCTTTCCACAGTGCTGTCACCCTACACAAAGGTTTAAACCGAGAGCCAGTAGATGCACAGGTGTCACAAGATCTTCATTCTACCTGACGCTCGCTTTGCCTTTCCCCGCCCCTCAGCTTCCCACCCAACAATCACGTCCCAGAGCGATGACTTCACTGCTCACCTGTTATCCAACCACAGGTCACAGTGCTCGTGGTCTCTTATGCAAAGCATTGTGACACAGTGGCTAAGCATGGCCGCTCCGGCTCGGCTTTCTCACCGGTCAAAGGATTGCATTATGCACTCCAGCCACCAAAGAGAATCTGATTACAAATAAATGCGTTGAAAGGTAGCTGATTTATGGAAATAACAAGCAGCAGTATGTAAGACTGTAGTAGGGCAGTGTGAATTAAAAATAAAACACAATGAGACTGTTGTTAAAGTGTATCGGAGTTATGTCAAATGAAGTACATTAAATATAAACCCAAAAGTGAATCTAGGTGAACTCATATTAACATTTTAGTGCACACGTAGCGAATCATAGCCTAATATGGGCCTGAGTTAGTAAATGGTGCGCTATTCAAATATATTAGAGCTCTATAAACAAACTAACCTTAGGTGAGTCGAACTAGACTAAACACAACCCAGAACTGTGCCAGTATGCGGTTGCTATGCACACTTAGGTTACCATGGTACCCAAGAAAGATGTTTTTCCTTGAGAGCACATTGTTTCTTCCAGTGTTCTGCCCTCCAAACAATAATACAGTCAATTTTAAGTTGAAATAAACAGTCTATATTATATTTCTCTCTGCATATATGAGTGTTACACCTCTTCATGTAACATGAGCATTCAAATCTGTCAGTACATATGAATGTTACATACCTCTTTGTGTCTATGTCTGTCATACACCTTTTTAGGAGAAATAACATTTAGGCAAAAGAGTCCATTTCTGATATGTAGTAAGAATTTAGAGCTAAGCAGGTAATGTTAATAACAGCACAGATAATTTGATGGGAAAAATGTTCAAATTGAAATCTTTTGACTGCAGACTTTGGCATCTTGGAAAATTGTGTGACATTGTTGAGATCTCTTATGTAAGCAATAAGGTACGAGAGGCCGACTCTCTTTGCTCTTTATTTAATCCTACTGTTGTATTGGAGAAACAAATGAGATTAAGAAATCTCATTTATGAATTCTCTCTTTTAAAAAAAAAAATAAATACATTCTAACTGATGTGCTTTCACCACCTGAAAAGAAGGCACATATAATCTGTTCTAAATCCCGCCTCACGTTCAGCCCCACCCGACAGCATCACAGCTGCTCTGTAGCCTAAAGTCTTTGACCATAAAAGGAAAAGTAGGCTGCATATGGTTTGAGGCGATAGAGTCTAGTAGTTTTCTTCATGACTTATTGAAGTATTTATTTTCATTAGAAGTTGAATATATTTCAGATCCATGAAGTTCATTATGGGCTGGATTAAGTCAGTCTAGGTCATGAAATATCACTATAATGCACTACTTATACACACTACATATTTTCCAGCTTATAGGACCTTTTGAGTAACAAACACACACGTGCATGTATAGATTTGTACTTAATGAATGGACAAATTCAAACTGGCAACATGTAAATACTAAATAAAACAGGTCCCAAAACTGACCCCTGAGGGACACCCTGACACAAAGGCGCAGTCTGAGATCTATTAGTACCCAGTAGGGCTGCACGATAAATCGAAATGGAATCGAGATCGCGGTTCGACAGAAGCTGCGATTGTCATGCGTATCTTTCAGTGAAGCACGGTTCTGTGATCAGCAGTAAATAGAAGCTATGCAAACAGCTGTCATTATTGCGAACTATTTCTTCGATTTCAGAATCGCGCAACAAAATCGTCTGCGAATTTTTTTGCGTAACTTGTCAGTGAACTACGGCTATGTGTAGTAAATTCTGCTCCATCTGAAAGCATGTGATGATGATTTACTGCTGATTACAGAACCAGCTTTTTTAACAAAATGTGCATGACAATCGCATTTGATTAATCGTGCAGCCCTAGTACCCAGGTAAACAAACTGAGAACGTTCTGAAAGATAAGATTTAAACCAGTTCAACACAGTGCATTGTCCATAGACTGATGCACAGTAAGTGCATTACTGTAAACACCACCTTTTTTACAGGTATTGAAATCTGAGGGACATATTTTCTGCAAATGTGCCATTATGATAATGAAAATTTCCTAAAAAAAATGGGGGATTTTCTAAAGTTATGAACACTGCCACATCCTTAAGATATGCTAAACTTACGGGGACACTTTTTTTCTGGAGACTCAACATCATTCTGTGGCTCAGTGGAAGAGATACTGTCTGAGAGGAGAGAGAAGGGTCAGGTCATTCTGGGTCATTGGCCATGGACAGGGTTTCATTACGACAAGGGTAAAGTAATAATGGATACCACAATTTTACCTGCACTGCTTATGTGCCTAACACTGGAGCTGAATTCATCATAAAATAAAGTGAAATGTGTAGCGAAGCAAAGAAAATAAAATGAATGAAAATGATATTCAGACTTTTTAAGTGTCCGGACACTTTTTGGGGCATCTGAATACATATATTAATTGCATACTAAGTGAATTGTATAATCTGCTGTGTTTCTCATCAGTTAGTCCAGTAATCATCCAAACAAGGTTTGATTGATGGGAAGATCTGAACTATTACTTCGAATACTTTGCAAACATTG